GCCACTTCTCCTAAGCACTTCCATACTTCCACTGGTATGTCATCAGGACCAACTGACTTTCCACTCTTCATCCTCTTCAGGGTTTTTCTAACTTCATCCTTTCTAACCTGATCTACCTTCTTCCTACTAGTCTCTGGTTCCTCGTTTCTACTTTCCCTTTCATTTTCCTCATTTAACAACTCCTCAAAGTATTCCTTGCATCTTCTCAGCACACTTTCCTCACTTGTGATTACGTTCCCCTCTCTGTCCTTAATCAACCTCACCTGCTGCACATCCGTCCCAGCTTGATTTCTCTGTCTCCCCAATCTATACAACTCCTTTTCTCCTCCCTTTGTTTCCAAACTCTCATACAACTCCTCATATGCCTTTTGTTTGGCCTTGGCCACTTCCCTCTTCACCTTGTCCTCTCTTTGTACTCCAGTCTCTCTTCTGTTCTGTCACTGTCCCATCTCTTCTTCGCTAATCTCTTTCTCTGCACACTCTCCTGGATCTCATCATTCCACCACCAGGTCTCTTTGTGCTCCTTTCTCTGCCCAGAGGACATACCTAGCACCTTCCTGTCTCCCTAATCACTGCAGCTGTAGTCTCCCAATCATCTGGGAATATCTCAACACTACCCAGAACTGCCCTTCCTTCCTTCCTTCCTGAACTTCTCCTTTCATGCAATTAACCATAAAAACCTGATAAAATACAAAACATAGGCTCATGTTGTTTTGTTTTTCTTCAGTGAGCTGTATGAGCATCATTATAACACCAACACTGGGACGGTTATGTTTACTGCTGCAAAGATCCTCTGTCAGATGCAGGAGGTTGACACGTCAATGGTGATTTCTGAAAACACTGACTTATCTGCAGTCATCCACAATCTGGCCTGTCAGGCCATCACTGTGTGCCATCCAGGTAAAGTATATGTGCACCCTCAAAATGTAAATATGGATTTATGGAATCAGAAGAAACTAAATATGATAGTAATTCACTTACAGATTTGCTTCTGGACTGTCTGGAGCTCTGCAAGTGTACAAGGATGGCCATGGATGTCTATCATCAGTGTCAGTTATCGGAAGACCATGGGTTCATTGCTGAGGTTGGTACCTTGAATGACAATTAACTGACTATATTTTGGTATAATCGTTTGCAGTGTGTGTGTATATATAAATATAATGCCATGCCGTTCAGGAAATTAATCTTTGAATATATATACAAAAGTCCTGAATATATATACAGAAAGTCTGAATGTACCGGATAAGCGGTTGATGATGGATGGAAGTCTGAATATATACATACAAAACGTCTGAATATATATACAAAAATCCTGAATATATATACAAAAATATGAAGCGTATTTGACCACACTGTCCATACCGGTGCCCAGCTACGGCTGCTTCCACCGACCAGGCTACACAGGAGATCCCCATAAAACAGCCCCTGCATATGTCATGGTTATATTTGTAACCCAAGTATTACAAAAGAAGTGAATACAGTGAATGCTTTGTAATAGAAAATGTAATGAATACGTTAAAGAGAATAAGAACAGATTACAGTCATAAAATCGTTAACGATCTAAGCCAGGCATGCCCAAACTGTTCCACTGGTTGGTTGGAACAAAAACCTGGAGCCACACGGCCCTTTGAGGAACAGTTTGGGCATGCCTGATCTATAGTGATGGGAAGACCGACTCTTTTTATTGATTCGAATCTTTGACTCTCGAACAGTAAAATTAACGAGTCGTGAACGAATCTTGAACTAATCATTTCATTCGTTTTACAGCAGGTGGCGCTTTAGCCCTATTGGGCGTTGTAAAGAAGGCTGCTGTTCTCCGACACTAAACTGAAGGCAACATGGTTTGCTTCTGCTGACAAAGTCTACAAAGTACACACAATGCCATAAGCAATTAAAACCATGCGAAAACCTAAGAAATAAAAACATACCACAATGTGAAGATGAATGAGAGCAAAAAACAAGACAAGATACAGGAGCCTTGCTGTAGGTGGTAGCAGGCGTAGCTCCGCCCTGATAAGGGTAGTGTGGTCAAATATGGTTTGAATTTCTATATATATATTCAGACTTTGACCACATTGTCCGTATTGGTGCAACCACCGCTGGCAAGGCTCCTGTGTCTTGTGCCCACGTAGCGGGTAGTATAAAGTATGTAAAAATAATAAATAAATAACATTAAAGCGACACAAGCAGCTTCTATATGAAGGTCTTTATATATGTCTGTGCGTGTATGTAATTGTATATAATGTGTATACACATATATGATTTGTATGTGGGTATGCACATACTTAATATTTGTGACTGTTTATACATGTATTTATATATTTGGGAGTGTGTACGTACAGTATACAGTACAGTATATACTCTTTAACAGCAATGTACAATATAAAAACTTTTAAATATTTATTTTTTCTATTGCTGACCTATACAGGATTTGAATATGGAGTCAGAGAAAGGTCCATATTCTCAGTGGATTTTTCAGGATGTTTTCAAAGAGGATTGTATCGTCCTAGATCCAATGTCCGTGCTTCCTGTTCAGTATGAAATTACAAACTGCCTGCTTCCCATTTCTCGAGGTAAGGTGATACTGAAATGTATCATGTCTTAAAGATTTCGTCAACCTTCAAAACATGCTGGAATAAAAACTGTGGCCTGTTTTTAATATTTTGGTCCATGTTGGTCAGGTTTTTATGTTGTTTAAATGGGGAAGCAGAAACAATCATCTTTATCGTAGTCGACTTGTTACCTTGCTGATGTGCTGTGAATGTTTGTTGTTGGCTGCAAATGTAGAGCTAGGGTATGGTTCCCACCTGTAGTTCTGTGTTTTTCTCTATGATGCACTGATACATTTGAAAACCTTGGCACCATGCACAGAAAGGCTGTGGGTCACATCAGTTACATAAGTTTTGGCCACTTGTTTGTTGCTGTGTCATTTCCCACCTCTTATAGTAACAAAATCTGAACAAATATTGAAAACAAAAATGCAGCATGTTTGCAAACCAAGTTCTTTTCTTTAACTGCCTGTTACATTGCTGTTGCTTATGTCTTGTAAGTGTGTGTATGCCAGGTAAGCTAGTGGTCAGTCTATTCACAACACACAAATTGTTAAATGATGGTATTGGTTTAATGGTCATTATTATCTGTGCAGTGTTAATTCTACTTAATACTAACATTTCCCATTGACTTCTGATCTTTTTTCGAATTTTCAGATGACAAACTTCAACCACTGGACTGCTCCTGTCTGTCACACTGCTCATTTGCAGACGGTGAGCACAAAACTAGTCAAATTTACAATTTACTTTACATTAAAGTTTGTTCCTTCAGATCACTGTTGCCGAAGATGTAATTTAGGCAGATTTCTTGCTTTAACTCTGTTTGGTCTTCAATACTCTGTACTGCTTAAAAATCTGACAGATACTCATAATTTACAGAACATTTTCACTTGATGCTGTCCTGCTTATTATGTGCAAAATTAGATTTTGTGAGCTTCAGTAGCTATACAAGGAAGTCAAATAATTGACATTTAAAATACTCCACCAGTTAGGATATTGAAGAAATTCCTTGGTCCTTGGAGTACTGTCACTTTAAATCCCCTGTTTATATTTCTTCTGTATCCTTATTCAGGTTCGAATTATCTGAAGCCTCTTCTGGGTCCCTTGGCCAACATGCTGCAGATGTTGCAGGAGTGCACTCAGCTTGAACTTGCCTTCAGAGTGTTGGTCAATGCCTATGGCAGCTGTGTACAACATGTCACCTCTAATGTTATGGACATTAAGCTTAGTATCCTGGTGTGATACTGTTTCTGAACCAGTTTTATTTTTATTCTGCATAATGTTCTTGCTTTTTTAACATCCCATATTTTTTTCTTTCCTAGCTTTATGAGACCCAAGACCTTGAGAATTATCACTTATACCTTAATGAGATCCTTAAGTCGACAACATCCTCTCTAGATACTGTGTCTGTGGCCCTTTTGAACAAAGTAAGTCGGAGGATGTCTTGTGTCATAGATGGGGTTTATCGTGTTTAACTCCTGTGTTTTTCAGGTATTTCATTGGAGAGTGGTTGATTGCGAATTTGCCTTAGGACTCTGTACACTTGTTTCGAAAGATGATGTCTTCAAAATACTTTGGAAAGTGATTGACAACACCTGGAAAAACTATGACAGAGTTTTGGTATGTAATATGACCGCTGTTCTCCAGGTGTTTTGTTGTTGGTATTTTTAATTTAGGAAGTTAGCTGTGTTGTCATTGGAATTATCAGATACATTATGGTTACAAAAACAAATAAGGACATAAGTTGTGATTTAAAAAAACAGTAATTGTTTGTTTGTTTTTAATGCAAATTTCTTTGTTCTGAATGCTATCAACATACCTGGTTTGCTTCTATTCAACACTTAATACTACAACTGCCAAAATCAGCAACGGTTGTTTTTAAAATATCTCCAAATTATTTTAGGCTGTGGCCAAAGTGGGAGCCAACCTTTGCAGTTTATACAACGAGGCTGAAGAACTTGAGAAGTTTCTCTCTGTCATCACTGATGCACAGTGGGGCATCCAGCTTGGAAAATTGGATGTAAGTCCATTGTAATTGTGTGTTTTATTCAACATGTATGTGTACACATCTTAACAACAAATTAAGACACAGTTCTTGCAGTACACTTACTCTTTCTTTTGTAATTTTCTGCAGATCTCTATCCAGCCAGTGTTCCGTCAGGAGCCTGAAATGAAGCGTCATCTAATTCCTGTTCTGCTGAAGAACAAGAAGATCACTCCAGACATTTTTTTCCAGTACTGCAGGTCTGGGGCACACCACATTCTCACATTTTTGTGTAAAGAGGTCTTTTTTCTTGTGTCCACTGTGCTGTGAAAGTTAATCTGTGCCCCTCTGCAGCACCTTTGGTTTGGCTTGTGATAGTGTCTTCAGTCAGTATATCACCACTGTACTGCTACTCCAAGAGGATGAAGAAGGTGTGGCTAATGAAGGAACAGGACAGGAGGAGATGCAGCCTTTTTGGGATGAAGACATACTGAAGCGAGTGATACAAATCATTCCATTGTTGCAAAGCACCAGCCAGTTCATTGATAGTCTCGCTGCTGCCTTATTTAAGGTTTGACCATATGAAGTTATTTCTGGTTGATGCACCATCTGATAACATGAGATTTTAACCTAGCAGCACGTTCTTGTAAACATTTATTGCAGTGCAACTCCTAGTCATTATGAATCTGTCTGCCCTCAAACATTTGCCGCCAGGCATCCAGTGATGCCTTGGCCACCCTAAATAAAATATATAGCAGCACTGAACCCACGGCTTATTATATGTATTTATTCAGAATGTATATAGTAGAGCTTTACATTCAATTTGGATTCAATATTTAAAATTAACAATAGCTCAGTTGGACATTTCTAACATTTGTTTTGATTGGGTAAATGCCTGTGAAAGTATTTTTAATATACTAAACATGGTGGCAGCAGCAACGTTTTCAATCATTCATCAAATTGAGACTAAACATGAAAACCACAACTGTTGTAGCTTTTTACAGTATTTCACCTATTTCTTTAGTATTTCCACAGTTTGGTCTGTATTCATCTGCTTCAACACTACTTCACCAGTCACGTTTCCTTCTTGTACAGCTGAACCCTTATAACTACGAGAAGATTGAGGTAGTGCTTAAGATCATAGAGGCCGTGGATGACAGTGTGACTGCCTTCTCTATAACCCAGGTTAAAAAAAGCACAGTGTACAAATGATGTTATATAGTTACATGTTTTCCACAATTATGTCATATGTCACTCATGTTTATTGTGCGTAGGCCACAGCCCTTCTTCAACATCTGAAATCCTACAAACGAGTGGCTCAACCTTCAGGCGTTGAGAACATGTATCTCCTGGAGAACAACCTCCTGCCAAACCACTTGTCCAGTAGCAGACTGCCCTTCCACCTACTGATGCAGACCAAACATTACTGGAAGATTATCAGTGAGTTGGAGGCTTTTCTTCTGCAATGTGTAAATGTAAAATACTATTGTTTAAAACACACTGGTTGAATGTTTTCTCTTTAAAAATTTAATTTGCATCACTGAAGTACCTCTTTCTCTTTAGTACCTGAGCTCAGCGAGGAGACTTATCACACACTTCTACTGATCAGCAAATTGATGAAGGTACAGCACAATGCAATATGTCAAACTCTTCCCCGCTGTCACCTGTACTTGATCCGGGATCAGGGAAACTAATTTCATTCATCCCATGTCTAACATGTGTTGCAATGACAATAAAGAACCTTGAGTCCACACGTATTTACATTCTCATTTTCAAAAATGTTGTTGTTTTTTTATCTTTTTGTGTCTTTTCAGGTGAGCATTGACAAGTTAAACATGTCAGCAGCAAACAATGTGTTTGAAAGGAAGATGAAGCCATTGCTCTTAGAGCAGAGGAAAAACGACAGGGAGACCATAAAGGTGGCAAAGACCGTGATGAAATACATCCACTGCATTCAGAGCCCAGAGTGGGCAGTGGCCACAGCCCACAAAATTACACAGGAACTACCACCAGGTCAGACTTAACTTTTATTTACTGCACTGCTCCACATGTTTGTAAATTTGTACTAATTTTTGTCTTGCTGTTTAGGTAAAGAGAAAACCCAATCACTCAGGTTCTGTTTGAGGCTTGCAGAAACATGGCTGAATAATCCAAACCTTGAGGTGTGTATAATATTTTGCCAAATGTAATGTATGACAAAGATATAATAATTTGTTTGTAGTTAACTCTTAAAAGGTTACTACGGAGCCCCTAAAGGAACATGGGGAAGAAAAAAAAGAGAAACGTATCTCGTGCTCACGAGAAAGTGTATCTAAGACATTTTGCCACACATACATACAGGGTAATACATTAAAAAAAAAAAATCATGTACAGTACGTACGGTTGGGAAATCTGAGATACCGGCATGTCATGCGTGACATATGTACTGTATATATGGTGAGCATTTAATTAATGTAGGGTACCTCATTTAGACACAGGAGGGCACTGTTGTTGTTGTTCAACTGCCGATAACAGCAGCTTCTGTACAACTGGACAACGTCTATCTTCTGCACACCATGTGGGTGGTTTGCACATTTCCCTATTGAAAGTAGTGCGTCTTCTTCTTAATACTTATGTTCTCTTTTGGGTCTCTGTGACCTGTTGGCTGATAACATGTCTGTATGTGTGTGCTTCAGTACTGCACAGCTTGTGCAAACCTTTCCTCGTATTACGACGCAAACCAGATGCCAGGACACTGGATGTGTACAAAGGACAACGGGAGGATTAAATTCTTCCTCTGCTTGTTTACAGTTTTTATTTGTTTATTGTGCTGTTTCACCTTTATTTGCTTTTCTATTTATATTGTGGTCAAATTTATTTACCACTAACCCCAGGTCCTTTTGAAATTCATACAATGTCATGTTTTACACATGTGGTCTTACATTGAAAATCCTTTAAAACTTCTATCAACCCCTGTAGGAGTCGGCACGGTCCAGAGTAGAGACCTTCCTTTCCAAACTGAAGCCGCAGTTTCAGCGTTCAGCCACTGTGAACATGTTGATCAACAATAAGCTGAACAGCCCTGAGAATCTGAAATTGTCCGGGATGCCAGCTCCACTCATCATGGCCCTTTACGAGCACAGCAGTGTGGAGCAGCGCTACAGAGCGTCAGGAGGTCAAACTTATCCTGGTGAGCAAATGCAACACCACATGCACTACTCTTTATCATTGTTACATTACTCTAACACTCAGTCCTGACTCATTCATCTCCACCTTAGATATCCACATGGTGGTGAAAGAAATTGCAGCTGCCAACAATGTGAATCTGATGAAAATTCGGAACATGATGTTGGAGAAGTGGATTTGTAAAACAGACTGTGCTGTTACCAAGGTTGGCCAATTTGGAATTGAATTTTTATTTGTAGTTTATTTTAGTTTGATATAACTATAAAGGTGTTTTTTTTTTTTTTCCTTTTTTTAAATGACAAGGACATAGTTAATCAAGAATGTGTCGGAAGTATTGAAGAAGATCCAGACTTAATGAGGTAGTGGAATGCTGTTCTTTTCTGTACTATACCAATAACTGTCACAAAATCTTCTGAGAACCACAGTGATTTGAAAGTAGGCTACTTGTGACACCGTAATGCGTGAGCTCTGTCTCTTGTATTACTAAAACGCCTTTAGAGTGGTTTACATGCTGAGCCTGTATCCCATGGATGAAGTTCTCAGACTGTTGAGTCCAATACTGTCAGCAGAAACCTGGGTGAGGAATAAAAAGGTTTTCATTCAGTCTTCAGTTAAAAATTCCAAGAATAAAGCCTGTGTCTGTTTTTATTAATTTATTTTATTTTCTTTAGCCACTCAATGACTCTAACCACCACCTGACCTTATGCCATCGGACACGAGCGTTGCTTTGTCTCATTCATCTTGTTGACGCCGAGACTCTGGAGGCTCAGTTACAGATCCCCAGGACCAAGATCCAGTACGAGGCATTGATTTGAGCTGTGTTTTCTCCTTTTTTCCCCAAAGTTTAATTATAATATTTAAGTTTATTTTCAGCTTCCTCATTGTTTTTGTGTGTTTTGCATTTCAGATATTATGTGACGTCCCTCATCTTTGTCTCTCGCCTGGAAGCCTTAAGCATCCCATACACAGTTCAGTCCTTCCTAGGTAGTCCTAAAGAGGCTTTAATCAAAGGGCTATGGAAGAATCACAGTCATTTGCCTCAGGTACTTGAGCTTATGTTTAAGGGAAAATCAATTTTTTTACCTGTCTAATGGAAATATAGCTTTATAAGGAATTACTTTTTTAGTAAGTAATTCCTTTATAAGGAATTACTTTTTTATTTATTTTTTTCTTCCACAACCACAAACCTTTGATTCCAGATATTTACTATATATATATAAACTTTTAATTATTAACTTTTTTTAAATGACATACAACCTCATGTGTTAACAAATACATTCAATCAGTTGTACTGCATATGTAAAACCCTTACCCTCCGTTACCAGTATTCTGTTATGTTATGAGGCCTGCAACAGTAAGTAAGATCATCAATAATTATTAATTTATTATATTTACTGTTTTTGATCATTGATGTTATTTTGTCTTTGAGTAAATAAGCAATTTTTAATTGTAAAAACAAGATTTTTTATTCCCTTTCAAATTATCTTACAATGATTTTGTGAAACTACACACATTTGTAAATAAAAAGCCTTCATAGAAGGACATCATCATTTTGAGGTAGAGGGAAAAAAACTTTTTTTTTTTTTTAAATTTTCAAAAACACAGGGGGTGCATTTGGTGGCTGACCTGTGTCTGGAATATCAGGTCTATGACCATCAGCTGTGGAACAGTCTCCTCCATAAGATGCTCAGCTTCAACTTGGTGAATAAACAAACACATGCACACACATCTCGAAGTTAATGCAATAAATGTTAATGAATTCTGACTTCCTTTTCAAATACACATTAAACATTTGTGTTTGCTTTCTTGCCAGATCAACCACCTCCAGAAGGTGTTGGTGGCCCTTGTAGCTGTGCCTGCTCTATGGGAGGTGTGCTCTTTTACTTTAATAATAACAGCCACCAAATGCTTCCTGTTGCATGACACAGGATGTAACATTTCACTGCTAAAAGTGGCTATTATAATCTTAATGTCTGAGAAATACCATTATGTTGCCCATGTAAAATTGTTCATTATTGCAGCGAACACAACTTAAGTCTTATAGGTAGGTGTTTAAAGTTCAATTAATTTCTTAATGTTAGATATGCATACAGCGTAAAAAAAAAAGACCTTTCTTAGGGTGACTGAATACCGATCATACTATTTAAATTTGAAATTATTTTTTGTTTCTTTTAATTTCATATACTGTATAACATTTTTGTATGGGGTCTCACTTTTAAAATGACAAAAGGAAGAGGCCTAATTTGCAATATGATTTTGATTGTTTGGGCCAGGTATTTATAAATTACGATATTTAAGCTATAACAAGAGAAACGTAGACTACGTGGTTTTAAAATCAGCCTTTAGTCCATTTGTGTCTTTCAGCTTAATAGGCAAAAAGTAGCAAGGCTGCAAGTATTCTTTGAAAGACAGTAGTTATATGATTTTTTTGATGTGGGATTATTAGGTTTTTGTGCTCACTTGTGAGTATGCTCTTTAGTAATGTGCTTAATCACCAGTGGATTTCCTGGTGCAGGAAATCCACTAGTGCATTAGAACAGATACTCAACCAAAAAGGAAAAAATACTTCCGCTAACATATGACTGCCATTTTGAGTTTGAATCTAATGTTTTTAATCTCACTGCAGATTACCAGTTTCTCCAGGACCTGGAAGAGTGTGATACTAGCACCATTTGCCTCAGGTACCAGATTTTTTTATGTGTTTCATAAATAAACAGGTTTTTATTTTTCTTTATCCATTAAATTTCCTGCAAGTCCTGATGACAGACATATTTATGTAAAAGCCTCCAATAACAATGAAAAAACACCTTAGTCTGAATTTAACTTGAAGTATGCACAGAAATGAATTCTTCACTGTCAGGCGTAATTCCATCTAAGACAAAACAATCAAATATGCAAAGTGAATGTAAGAGTTGTGTACCATCTATATACAGTATGTACGTACAATATTTAAGAGCTGTTGTGCTTTGATTTAATGATCCCGTTTTTTATTATTATTAATTCTGTTAATTGTGATAAAATCTGTCTTTGTCCACAGCTTCTGTTCCTCTGAGTCCAGATCAACAGGCCACTCTTTACAGGACGTTTGTTTTTCTTCTCAAGTAAGTTCTCAGAAGACTGTATTTATCTACTTTATCTACTGTATATCTGCGTCTATTATTGTGACTTATTACTATAACATATTATTCAGCTAACGAAGGTAAATGAAATTTTCATAATGTTCATTTAATGTAATTTAGGATTGTGTCGGTTGTTGAAAATTAAGTTAAATTCTAAAATCTGAGAATTTTGGTATTGCGTGCAGTGATGTGTGCATATTTACATACGGTATATACAAGAAATAATAAAGCAGAAAAAAAAAACAAATCAAAACATGACTTTTTAATTTGAAGTACAAAATAATCTGTCTACAAATTGATGTTTTTCTTATTCCAAAGATACCCTTTCCTGTTAGATTTGGATCTGATAGGAATTGCCAACCATTTTGCACAGTTCAATCTGTCTGCATTTGCCCTGGGAACTCTCCTCCTCATTCCCTGTGCCAGTAAGAAAGATCAGCAGATCAAGGTGCATTTGATCATGTTGGGTCACAAGAGAAATGGTCATCTTTGGAAAAAGTCTCTGTTTCCCTGTCTTTCATTCTCATGTTGATTTTCTTCTTGGCTTCTTTAGGGCTTCCTCTCTGTTTGCAACCCACTCAGTGTTCTTGACCAGGTGGACGAACTCATGAACACTGGTGAACTGGCTGGAATTCCCTCACAGGTTGGTCCTTACCTGTGACTATTCATTAACATACTGTTGACGGTGATGATTTAAAAACTGGATTACACTGTGGTTTTATTATTAAATCATCTTCTTTATGAAGAACATAGTTTGATTACATTTATTAGATATTAATAAAAGGGTGAGATTGGAGAAATGATTGAAAAGAACGTACTTTCATTCGTATGTAAGCAACCGAGGACCAGCGTGTGGGGACGGTGCCATGTTCAAAGCAGCATAGTAGGGGCTTAGCAGCTGGAGGATTTGAAAAGTCTGCTTTCTTAACCACTGCTGCCACAACTACTGTAGTTTCCAAAAACAATAACACAGACACAATTTGTAAATGACTTGCATACTTGTTGATTAAACTGTAAGTCAAATGTCAAAAATCAATACCTTACATTTTATTGTGACCCCCTCAGGTTAGAGACAGAGTATTATCTTTTGTCAACCAAAGTGGACAACGACAGAAACTGATGAAGACCAAACATTTCAAGCATCTGGAACAGCTTGTGGTGTCCAATGATCAACCAAACCAGGGAAAAGACCTGGTGGGCCAGATCAACTATAACTTGTAGGTTTTTCTATTTCCTGTTAGTAACAGTACCAACAGCACACTGATGATGATAATGATGACGAGTATTAAGAATGTATCAGTACATGTTAACACGCAACTGTTAGGAGTCAAGCCACTAATTTGAATGAGTACCATCAATAGCATGCCTTCACCATGTTGACACCTTCTGTTCTGCTTCCTCAGTTAACATGTCGAACCAAAAGCAACTTTTTTTATCTAGTTTCTAATTTCAACTGTGTAGAAGAGAGAGATTGTTGAACATTTTTTGCCTCTGCCTCGACTGCACTTGTCACATTTCTCCATCAGTACTAAACCATAGTCTGTTTTCACATGACAGACGCATTATAAGAATATTCAGACTAGACTAGATTATTTTTGGTTTATGTCCAAACTGATCAACAGAAATGAATCCACCACAGCTAATTTCTCAAATTAAACCAGCACAAATGACCTGACCACATCTTTAATTACAACTCCTGAGAAATTTAAATAAAATTGGCCTTGTCTTTCTGACTTTGTCAGCTGTTCATTGCGACTATTCTGAGTCTTTTCTTCCTTTCTTAACTGCCCTTCAGTCAGGACGATGCAGATTCACTCACAAAGAGAGCATCTAAAGGTGAATAAGCTGACTAACACTTCACCTTCACCCAACTATTTATTATTTTGTTTATTTTCATAATGTTCATTTAATGTAATTTAGGATTGTGTCGGTTGTTGAAAATTAAGTTAAATTCTAAAATCTGAGAATTTTGGTATTGCGTGCAGTGATGTGTGCATATTTACATACGGTATATACAAGAAATAATAAAGCAGAGAAAACAAATGAAAACATGACTTTTTAATTTGAAGTACAAAATAATCTGTGTACAAATGGATGTTTTTCATATTCCAAAGATACCCTTTCCTGTTAGATTTGGATCTAACTGCCTGAAGGTAACTCAAACTGCTGCTATCATTTAACACCAGCAGTGTTATATAACAGCATTAAGAACACATTTCTTGTTATTACAATGCAGACTTGTAATTGTGCTTTGGTTTTAATTTTAGGAATTTCTCAATGTGAATTCTGAATGGAGTTGGATGGACTGACACACCACCCCATTAATATCACCCTGCTTTGTTTGTCTTTGGGCCATAATGCACTGTTTGTACATATTTACTCTTAACATTTGTAACCCAATTTCTGATGTAAAATTTGAATAAATATTTCAGCAATGAGACATGTGAAATGGTATTGTTGAGAAACAGTGCAATGTTCTGCTAAGTTTCAGACTAAGGAAAAACTGGCCGCTGCTGAAGAGACACTGATCTTTATTGACAGTTTATATTAAAACAGAGAACATTAGATTGAACCATAGACATCATATTTACAAAGATCATTAAGATATTAATTTATTTAACATCTTTGTATACATAATTGAGGGAGAGTGGTATCTGCAATATACGGAGCACTGGGTAATGGGAATTTTTTTTCGCTCTATACTAAGAGCGGGTAAAAAGTGAAAATCTGAAGAAGATTGTTTTAATGTACAGTATGTGATGTACAGTGAACCACCACCAATTCTTCTGACTTTGAAGAATGGGTTAAAAGAAAAGACTCATACATATACAGATATATGAGCTACCCGAAATACGAGTTAAGAGTAAGCAACTATTAAATTAAGATTTTCCTTGTGATACGAGGAAACATCAAGTTGAATGTAATTTGTAATACGTACTAATCATGTAAATATTTATGGTACATACAATAGTAGACACTCTTCTTACCATTGTCATTGCACTCATTTGAATATCATTGCAAGTTTAATTGGTTGACTGGTTTTATTTGAAGAATACACTGTGTGGGCACCTTAGGTAGTACTTGGCGGCTACCAGGTGCCCCTGGGGCATCATGTTGATGAGCCCTGAAGTAGTGGTTAGCACGCCTGCCTCAGAAGCAGAGTCAGAGTCATGGGTTTGATTCCCAGAGGAACCACATGCTTGGCCTCCTCTTGTAGGTTGCTTTGGATGAAAGTGTCTGTGAAATGTAAATGTATTTTGTTGTATAAAATGTTGTATATATATATATATATATATATATATATATAGTTTTATAAATAATTTTTAAATATTTTATTCCTACAATACACTTTGATAATTGTAAAGAAGTGTACCAAATATTGTTGACAGGTTATTTCACAAAATCATGGAATGTGACTTTAAAAGAACAGTTAAAAAGGCAAAAAACAAATATTCATTAGTTTTTATAGAACAAAGTCAACAGTCTTATAGGTAACTTTTTAACAGCTCATTATATGCGGCTTGAATACTTTGATGTAACCAGTAGATTTGTGATGCTACTAATTAAATTTTGTTCTCCACTTGCTTGTTCTTTTACTCTAACAACCATTAGAATCACGATTTCTCATGACTTCAAAAGTGGCCTTTATAAAGAACAAAGATGTGGTTAACTTTAAAACCACCATGACTGACAACAACACTGTTGTTTTTTTCCTTGAACTCAGTCATCACAGCTGGCTGAGCGAGTGAGAGCCAGTTTCTTTGGTTTTCTTATCTGTGCTTCCACTGGGCTCTGCTGGTTCCAGGAAAAGCACTTTTCGACAGATGTTCTTAAAAGCTGGGATCGAGAAGTAGTAGACCAAAGGATCCATGGCGCTGTTGAAATAGGTCAGGCTGATGGAGATGAAGAAGGTGTTAGTCATTTCCTCCATGGCAGGACAGATTTCTGATTGTGGAAGGCTGTGGACAACCTGGTGAGTTTTGATCCAAATGAGCACCTCTGTAATGTTGCTGGGCAAGAAGCAGACGATGAAGAGTATCACCACAACTGCGATGAAGCACAGAGCTCTCTTCATTTTTGCCTGCTGTCCAAGCCGTCTCCTTCTGAGTTGGACAACGATGTGGAAGGTGCAGTAAATGATCATGGACAATGGCAGGTAGAAGGAGAGGAGAAACACAGTCTTGTGCCAGTTGAGGCTGTGGTCCGTTTCGGTTTCAATCACGAAACTTTCACATTTGGTGGTGTTGACATGTTTCAGTGAAAAAACATGAGCTGTCATAGCAACAGGGACCAACCATAAAATGAGTGCTCCCAGCATGGCCTTTGAAACACTCACGGAGTTGATGGGATGATGAGGATGCACCACACACATGTATCTGTCCAGAGCAATGGCCATCAAGAAGAAGGTGCTCCCACTGCGATTCATGGCCAACATGAAGAGAATGATGTTGCAGACGCTCTCTCCAAACATCCAGTTGATCCCTGACAGGTAGTAGCTGGCACGAAAAGGCAAAGCCATGATGAGGAGAAAGTCTGCCACAGCCAGATTAAATAGCAACACTGTGCTGCTCTTCCATGGCTTCAGCTGGAAACAGAAGATCCAAAGAGCAAAACCATTTGCTAAGATTCCCAACACTATCTCCATCAGCAGCACTGGAGGGAGCACAGTGGGCAGCAGAGCGCCTTTAAAATCGCACCTCATCTTGACTTACGTGATCTCTCTAACTGCAAGTTTCAAGAAATATCCCCTAGACAACTGTGCGTTCTGTAAAAAGAAGCAGGCTTGTGGGTTTGAATAACACAGGAAGTCAGTGATGAAAGTTCTGCTTTCTTTTAAATGAAAAAGAATTTCTGAAGATTTTCTCTGAAAATCCTTGACAAAGCTCAGAAAGATCTACTGAAGCGAAATGCTTATAAGCACATTATATATTTAGTTAACAGCAAATGCAGGATTAGCAGAACTAAAAGCTAAAAATATAACACCAATCAATTTCTTTCTTCCACTTTCTAGAAGAGAAATATTGAAATATATACTTGCATCACAAAGCTCAAATCACCGTGAGTTGTAGTTGTATTTACACTCGTACATTTGTTGTGTTCATTTATTTCCCAACAACACCAACACGGTGGCATCTGCAAATACTGGCACATCTACGGATAAAGAAAATGTATCATGTAACTATTGATAAACAACGGTCTAGTGACAGAGTCGCGTTTGTTGCCAAGGTTACTTTGGACAATAAAGTTCTGAGCAGGACGTCTGACGTGAGTAGCGCTTTTCTCCTCCACAGATCCAGGTAGACTCATACACGTCTGTGTCTCTCGCACCTCACAATCGAGGTGACGGTGTGGCTATAACCGTAATGTAGTGACCTGACGCTGAAAATCTCCCATCATTAGCCCCAGGTTTATAACAGAGAACACTGAGGCCATGAACTCGAGTAGGCAAGGGCCACGAGTCTCATGTATTCTGTACACTGTACTGTCTCCGCTCAACATTTTACGCGATTTATGTTGAAACCCAGATCCATTGGATGATTTAGCACAGCTGTAGAATATCGGACCACCTGCTCTAGTGAGCTGGAATATTTCAAAACAAATCGGATGCCAATGTCCCGCTGCTTGCACATACAACACGATCACTCTCGGTGTCAGTGAAAGTCCGAAAGGAACGGGCTGATATTCATTATCTAAGCTAAAAAAAAACTTTTTAAAAAACCCCGCTTTCGCTAAATAGCGATCTCCTCTTTGGATTTTCAGCTCTAGTATAAGGCGAAAATGACATTTCCATTGTGGAAATTGTTCCAGAAATAATAACTCTGACGAGTTCTGTCGGCTGCCGGGACTCTGATAAATCCTTTGCCTAACAATGACGTAACTCTTTTCACCAATAATTTTGCTCAATCGTCCTTTGCCACTGAAACTAACCCGCCATGGAAGACGAGTGGTTTCACATTAAACTCAAGTCTGTAACCTCCAGATGAATTGGAGAGAATCCACTTGTGTACTACACATGGGTAACGTAGGTATACCTTGAAAATGAGCGACCCTCTGAGGTCGCGAAGTGATGGCGTCACGAGTTTCTGGCTTTCACTGGTGGAGTTCAGTACTCCCCAAGTGGCGTACTTGGGACACAACATTGAAGTCATGAAGGTCATGAAGGGGAGATATTTAATCCTCGCCACTGTTCCTGGCTGAGGACTTTGGAACTTCATTTGTTTTCTGAACATAAATGCTCGGTGACACAAAATTCTATCTTTTTGTTTCTCATCTTCTGACTGCAGAGAGAGAGAGAGAGAAAGACAGAGAGAGAATGAACACCCAGCCCTAGGAAATTGGTAACTACCATAGGCATTGAACAGTGAAGATTTGGGGTCCTTATCTCTACCATACAACTTTTCTTGGTATGAAAGAAAAAACTCTGGGAATGTTACTATTCTTGCTTCTCCCGTCTCCCTCTTAGTTGGACAACGTTGTGGAAGGTGCAGTAGAGGTGAGCTGTCATAGCAACAGGGTTAGAATGAGTGCTCCCAGCATGGCCTTTGAAACACTCTTGAAACACGAGTTGATGGGATGATGAGGATGCACCACACACATGTATCTGTCCAGAGCAATGGCCATCAAGAAGAAGGTGCTCCCACTGCGATTCATGGCCAACATGAAGAGAATGATGTTGCAGACGCTCTCTCCAAACATCCAGTTGATCCCTGACAGGTAGTAGCTGGCACGAAAAGGCAAAGCCATGATGAGGAGAAAGTCTGCCACAGCCAGATTAAATAGCAACACTGTGCTGCTCTTCCATGGCTTCAGCTGGAAACAGAAGATCCAAAGAGCAAAACCATTTGCTAAGATTCCCAACACTATCTCCATCAGCAGCACTGGAGGGAGCACAGTGGGCAGCAGAGCGCCTTTAAAATCGCACCTCATCTTGACTTACGTGATCTCTCTAACTGTTTCTCTAACTAAGTTTCAAGAAATTGTGCGTTCTGTAAAAAGAAGCAGGTTTTTGGGTTTGAATAACACATGAAGTCATTGATGAAAGTTCCGCTTTCTTTTTTTTTTAAAGGAAAAAAAATCTGAAGATTTTATTTGGAAATCTTTCAGAAAAAGCTTTTTGGTCAAACAAAAATTAAATATAAAACTAGATCTACTGAAGCTAAATGCGTATAAACACACTCACATTACACATTTTGTTAGTTAGATAGACAGGCAGACAGACAGACAGATAGATAGATAGTTACTAACTAACTTTAGTAATCCCTTGGGCTTAAATCACATGCTTAATTATAATTTATTTTTAAAAGGGCAGGACCAGTAATGTCCAGTAATCTTTTTATATACCCCAATATTGACAAGAGGATCTATTTAGCAGGTGGTTGGGTTGTGTGAATCCCTCTTCATTTTTGCCTGCTGTGCTATCTCCCACTAAGCCATAAAGATTGTACAATTTTGCACAGCTGTAAAATACCTTATTTTTTTGTGTGAGGAAAATGACAGCTCATACATTTTTTGTAGGCAATCACATAGTGACAGGTAAAGTCACTTTAATGGCCTGACATGTCTCATATAATTATCTTTTAATATCATAACATCATCTTCATTTCACACCTTGTAGCCAGTGCAGAGACCACATTTACTTCCTTCTTGGCCTCCCTTTTCTCCTCCTCCTGTTGTCCCATCAGCCTTTGTGTTTCCTTCTCTTAAATACAGCAGTGAACATGAAATTCCAGTCTTTCAGCTTCCAGGAGAACACAAAACAGATAGCAACTAAAGTCAGAAATGTTTATAAGAAACAAACAGAATGATGGTGTGGCCACACTGTTGTGGGTGTGGTGCAGAAGAAGTTATTACAAAACAACAACCTGAAGTCTGAAGTTGGTCTAAATACATGAAATGTAAAACATATTACACTTATTTGCAAATGCTACTGTGTATTTTTTTAGTTACAACATCTCAAAACATTCAAAGCTGAAAATAAATGAAGCCATGACATGAAACAAGCATTACTGGTTTGCCCACAAACCACTGGTTTCACATCTAAGTTTAGTAAAGCTCGATAAAGCGTCTGCTTCACACACTGCTTCTCTGTAAATAAAAGTACTTATGAGTAATATGTGATAACGGGAAAGAGAAAAGTTATAAAGTCCCATATCAGATGGGGATTTTTTTTGTATTTCTACATATATACTACTTAGGCACTAAAGCAGCCTTAAAACCACACAACTAGGAGAAGTTTGGATGAAGAAGTTTGGATTTAAATTATATACAAATACAGGTTTTTATCGCAGGTCTTCAGAGAAAATAAGGACTAGTTCAAATGAAATTAAACTTATTAGAAAGGGAAAATGCAATCATACACATCTTTGACAGTCCAAAACAGAATTTTAACACAATTTTTCCAAATGCCAACCAGTACTGATGCATCTTCTTCTTTTTCTTTCGGCTTTGTCCCTTTTTCAAGGGTTGCCACGGTGAATCATTGTTTTCTATCTCTACCTGTTTTCTATCTGTCCCTGTCTCTGTCTCACCTCATTTCTGATCCTGTCCATCTTTGTCATCTCTTGTACATCACCCTGTGTTCCTCTTTCTTTTGGAAATAGGTGTTTACCACAGCCATTTCCATTCTCTTTGCAAAATCTACCACTGCCTGTCCTTCTTAGTTTCTCTCCCTAACACCAAACCTACCTATCACTTCCTCATCTCCTCTGTTTCCTTCCCCTACATGGCCATTAAGGTCTGCTCCAATCACCACTCTCTCTCCCGTAGGGATACTCTCTATCATCCAATCCAGCTCCTTCCAGAACTTCTCCTTTTCTTCCAACTCACAGCCCACCTGTGGGGCATAACCACTGACATAATTTATCACCACTCCTTCTATTTCTACCTTCACACACATCAACCTGTCTGACTCTCGTTTCACCTCTACCACATTTCTTACATATTCTTCCTTTAGGATCACCCCTACTTCAATTCTCTTCCCATCTGAACCATGATAAAGC